CCCCAAAACCCCAAAACCCCAAAACCCCTTTACTAACTATTTACTAAAGAGTAGGGTTAAATAGAAATTAAATTTATGTCAATTATCGAACAAAAGACGTCATCAACGTATTTAAAAACATTGAATGACCTGTCCTATTATATGTTTTATAATATTAAGTTTAGATAATGAAGCCTTTGTCAGAGATTTTTGCACAAGTAAAAGATGAGAGTATCGGTTTAGTATAAGATGGAGAGATCTTTTACCTAGTTATGAACACTGAGTAGAATCTATTTGATTTCGATCAAATCTAAAGGATGCACTAATGTCTTGATTAAATTGAGAAGTCGACTGGACCTGCCTGCCTTGTAACTATTGGAACTAAAAGATTTTTCTCAACTGGTTTTGATTTAGAGAAGTGGGCCATCAACATGAGTGACGCATACACTATGATTTTGATGATGCAACAAGTTTTTAACAGATTTTTAACTCTCGAAATTCCCACAATGTCTGTCTATAATGGATCTGCTATTGCTGGAGGATTATTGCTTTCTCTTACACATGATTTCAGAATTATGAATGAGAACCGTACCTACGTCTGCCTATCTGAGATTAATCTTGGCATTACCATTAATGCAGGTTTCGCATCAATAGTGAAAAATTCATTGACTCCTTAAGCAGCAAAGCTATTGACATATGGTGGGAGATTCAATGCGCAGTAATGCTTAAAAATGGGGGTAATTGATAATGTTTACAAAGATGAGAAAGAATTGATGAATCAGATCTAAGAATTTGCCAAGGTTTATGCACCAAAAGGTGAAGCGAGATCATCATTGAAGGATTTAAAGACAAATCTACACAAGCAAACTTCAAGAGACCTTCTATAAGAAGGGTTATCAATAGGAGTTGTCAACAAAGCTAGCTCCAGATAGAAATTATGATTTAGACATTTACTAAAATAATAAGTATTAAATTTCGATTACTGTTAATTATGAATTTTTCGACTATTTTGATTGATGGGGTTTTGGGGTTTTGGGGTTTTGGGG